GGAATCAAACCCGGGCAACATTGGTGGGAGGCGACGCGCATCACTACTGCGGCGGCCATCCATGCCGCGCCATCCCTGCTATTAAAAATTTACCTTTATTCCTATTACTGTTAAAATAAACAAAAAAAAAACAATAACAATAATCGTGCAAGATTGACAACCTTTGTCCTAGCTGCTTAACATTCCAACACAAAGCATTTCGTGATCTGTTTCCTGGTTACATTCGTTTAATTCAGTGGACGTATTTGCAATGCACATTCTTTGAGATCGGATTGCAAACAGTAGGCACGATTACTTTCGCGACCGTACTAAGCGTACCGCTAAGACTTAGTTCGCGAAATGGCGTCGTCTGAAAAGCAAATGATCCCTTTAGAAGATATCTCTCTGACTAATGAAGACTTACCGGACATCCACCAATCCTCGACTAGAGATTTGGTTGATGTCAAGCTTCCCTCAAGACCTCGACGAAAAGTTGTGATCATAGCGGGTGTTATTGCTGTGCTTATAGTTCTCGCTGTCGCAGGATCCCTGATTGGAAAATACGTTCCAAAGTACCTGAGCGAGGCAAATAACAAATGTAAGTAATGATACATTTCTTATCACTGTACCTTGGTCGAAGCTTTCTATTTTAATTTTTACATGTAATTAAGCTGTCGCCATCAGTGTTCTTCAGTTGATACAGCCGGTTGTGTCTTTGGGTAAAAAGGCTAATAAATCTTAAACTTTTGAATCGACTTAGAATAAATTTATCAGACGTTTTTCCTCAGAAACGTTTGTACTGAAAACCTGAATTTGATACGCCAATTTTCTACCCTAGGGCCTGTTTCTCGAAAGCCCCGGAAAGTTTTCGGGCCCGAAAAGCCATTTTTTGTTAATTGGTATTTTAAGACAGAGAGGTGTATACGCCTGAAACTTCTTGTACGGAATGGAACCTCTGTTTATACTAAGAATATGCGAATAAAACAGCTCTGTAATCATAGGGATTGAGATTTTGCTACAGCTTTCCGGGTGCGAAAGCTTTTCGGGACCTTCGATACAAACGGGCCCCTGCTCTGCCATGACCATATCTATTTACGAGACAGACCACAGCGTAGTCCTGACTTAGAGCAACTCGATCAGGTTTCTTCCCAGCGCTGAATTCTGGCTCCTATAACACACACATTTACTTGTTTTGACTTCACTTTTTGCCCCGTTATCGTGTAGCTGAGAAAGGCTCGAAAGACAAAGGTACTGGAGAGCCAAAAGGAATCTTTCCCTCATCTTCTTCGAGCGGTAAGTGTTTCATAGAATCATACTTTGCGGAAGTATATGTACTCAGTTCGTTTGTTAACACTAGGAAAGAACGTGAGCAAAGGGGGAATTGAAACCGCATGCAACTTGATCTAGTGTAAATGTTTCCGCGTTTTGCTGATTAAATTCGATACCGTATTTTCTTGATCAAAACGCCGGGTTCGTCTCTCAAGTAAATTTGCAAAAAGGCCCTCAAGAAATTTATTATATTCCGGAGGTGTTATAAACGTTAAGTATATTTTTTTATGAGGTATATGGCTCTCAAATGTATCAGTAAAAACTCTCATAAACTCCACCCTCGAATAAACTGCAAAAGGCACTGAAATAAACGCTGGATAAAAGAAGGCAAGTTTGAACTAAAATGCAATGGCATTTAATGGAGAAAACAAGGTACTGAATATACAAACTGAGTGCACTGTGTCAAAGGGGTGAAATCACTGATGAGTTTAATTTTGTGGGTAAAAGGCCGGTTAACTCAATATCAAAAAAATTGTGTCTTGAAATCGCGGAAAAATATTAAATTACACCTTATATCCTCTTCGTCTTTGTGCACCAGACGCATTTCGTGTTAATATTACGTATATACAATTCCTGAGAATTAAAATGAAGCAAACTTCTGTTAATAATGTCAGCATTAATTACTGAGTTTGAGATACCGGTCCTTCTACTATTTTTCTTTACTTTGGAATTACTAACTACAGCAGAAAGTAGGTTTTGCTCGTAAGGCCGCAGTGTATTTATTTTCTTAGCTTAGTAAATACTAATAGTGGCCTAGCTACTGCATGTTGAAAGCCCGGTCGAGGGTAGAACTGTTGCAGTAGAAGTTTATAGTTTGGTTTGAACATATAAATATTTCTTGAGCAAACAGTTGAAAACAAGAGGGGAAAACACAAGCCGACATTGCTCGGTTGTTGTACCACATGTACAGAATTCCCAAATCTACCTCATACAAATCTTGATAATGATTGCAGAGGCCCCGGCCGTTAATTCCACGTCACCATTTTCTCTTGACATAACTTAATGACTGTCCTGTCACAGGTATTCTCATTCAGGCTTCAGTGAAAACGGCATAAGCGTTTCATAGAGTTCTAAGACGATACAAAAATTAAAAACTCACTCTATTTAGCTATTTTCTCACTTGCGTGCAATTCCGAGCTAGTACCACTGACATCTGTAGACAGGTCATGCAGACATGTAATAGAGTCGTGTAAACTAGGACTTTGGAAATGACTGTCCTGTCACAGGCATTATCATTCAGTCTTCAGTGAAAACGGCATAAGCGTTTCATAGAGTTCTAAGACGATACAAAAATTGAAAACTAAACCTATTTAGCTGCTTTCGCACTTGCGTGCAATTCAGCTAGTACCAAATCTGTAGACAGGTCATGCAGACATATGATAAGGTTAAGAAAAGAGTCGTGTAAACTAGGACTTTGGAAACCGTCCAAGATAATTTAAACCAATTTTGTAACTGCCCCGGGGGAGCTTCGATATAAAAAGGACGGGGTTGTTTGTCGGAAATTTTGAAATAACGGCTGAACTACGACTATTTTTATAGTTATGTATTACCTGTTTGTCCTGAATACGTTCCGTTATTATGACAGAGAGCAAAACTAAGACTGTATTTTTTTCTCTGTAATGAAAACCGTTGCAAAGGCAAATAATTGATGAGCGGCCGAATCTTTCATATCACTTTAAAGATTTCAATACGACCGAATCACGGCATCTTACATCAATGGTGATTTAAATTTTCACTGTGTTTTTGCTCAAAAAAAAATGGCAATAAAGGTTTAACTACCTTTGCTAAAAAAGGTAGCGTGACGCGTGCGCATTGATCGTGACACTTGCCACGGAAAAATGGATGCAGATCTGCGACTACGTTGTAAACATGTTAGCAGCATCGTCTGTTTTAAAACTGAGGGAGCTTGTCAAATTTCTTTTATGTCTCGGCATTCATGGGGAAGCACTGAAACATCAAATGCGCTCTCATGGAAACTTCAATGGCAAGCCTGTAGTTTATCCAGAACTGCTTGTCTTAGAGCTGTTTTCGAAAGTAGTTAGCACTTGTTTCTACGCTGCGCAATTAGTTTAAAAACCTCGCGCCCCTTTTCATACTATCAGAAGTAAAACCAAAACCAATTGTGAGGGCGGCACTGATGCTTGCAAAAGGTTCCCGCGCTTCATGTCGGCTACATGTGTTTGATTAACTGTTTCGATTGGTCCATTTAATTATCTATGTTTTATTGTGATTAATGGCCAGAGCAATTACTTTCGTTTTCGGCGGTTTCCCGTTACCCAGTGTCAAACCACTCTAATGTAAAACCTGGAGTGCTTTCATTGAGCCAAAATTCCGGAAATGGAAGTCAAAACGAAAGGTCTGTTTCGGGTCGATCGGTCGGACCTAAATATTCGGGACCACCTCTGGTGGGGTGCACTTTGATCATTCAGACCAGTTTGTCGGACATTTGTCGTGCCTTTAAGGGGTTAAAAAAGCGGGTTTGCTACCTCTTAGCGTATTCGGCCTCAAGAGCTATCGCAGAACCTTTTAGGTCCTTTTAGGGTATTGAGCCAGAAAAAGAGTCGAAAAAGCAAGTGTCAGTTATTGTCTTGTTTTGATATTTTAACCTCGTAGGGGTGGAAAAAAATTCAAGCCACACCCACAAAACAGGATCTTTGTAACTCTTAGGGGCTTTGTCAAAACTTCCGACGAGCTCTCCGTCCTTTTAATTTTATATTGGAGTCCCCCCGGGAAAGGGGCTTAGTGCCACTGGACTCCAATCATGATCAACAGCATCTCAACTGGGCCAGACAGTGTGATAATGTGGAGACTGGGACAAGGGAACTGGTTTCTCTCTTAGAACTCAGTTTTGGTAACCAAGAGCAGCGCCCGGAGTTGGGGCGAAATGGATTAATCCGGGTGACAGAGCGACGGCGCCCGTATCCTGGTCGAATTAGAATTTGGAGATGATAGTTTTCTGGAGGGAAAAAAAACCGGAGAACCCGGAGAAAAACCCTCGGAGCAAGGCGAGAACCAACAACAAACTCAACCCATATATGACACCGGGCCGGAATCGAACCCAGGCAACATTGGTGGGAGGCGAGCGGTCTCACTACTGTGGCGGCCATCCATGCTGCGCCATCCTCACTAAAATTTACTTTTATTTCTATTACTGTTAAAATAAACAAAAAACAGCAATAATCGTGCAAGGGTAATATTTATAGATTGACAACCTTTGTCCTAGCTGCTTAACATTCCAACACAAAGCATTTCGTGATCTGGTTGCTGTTTACATTCGTTGATTGGACGTATTTGCAATTTACTTCCTCGTTGCACTTCCTTCAAGATCGGATCGCAAACACCAGGCTCGATTACTTTCTCAACGCGACCGCACTAAGCGTATCGCTTACACTCCGCGAAATGGCGTCGTCTAAAGAGGAAATGATCCCTGTAGAAGATATCCGTCTGACTAATGAAGGCTTACCAGACATCCACCAACCCTCGACTAGAGATTTGGTAGATGTCAAGCTTCCCTCAAGACCTCGACGAAGAGTTGTGATCTTGCGGGTGTTATTGCTGTGCTTATAGTTGCCGCTGTCGCAGCATCCCTGATTGGAAAATACGTTCCAAAGTACCTGAGCAAGGCAAATTTGATGCGCCAATTTTCTACCTTAGCCTACTCTGCCATGACCATATTTATTTACGAGACAGACCACAGTGTAGTCTACACGCAGCAACTCGATCAGGTTTCTTCCCAGC